CCCTATGAGGTTGGTTCTATTGTTATCCCCATTTTGCAGATGGGAAAAGTGAGACCCTGAGGGGTTTGGTAGCTCAAGTCTCACAGCTGAGAAAAGGGGAGTGCCAGGATTTGAACTCTGGCTGTCTGGCTTGGAAGGCACACACTTAACTACAGCTCTCTACTGTCCATAGAGCAGGACTTAGGGCAAGAGGGCAGGAATTATCAACGATGAGGCGGGCTAACAAAGAGAAATGAAGCATAGACTCTGCTCTGTGGAGCTCCCGGCCTAATGAAGGAGACACAGAAACTAACAATCACAGCACAGGGGGTGAATGCAGTCACAGAGGGAGACCAGGCGGGGACCCTGAAAGCCCCAGGAAAAGGGAGACGGTGTCCGAGAAGAGGTGATGTAGACGTGTTATAGATGCCACCTTGACTTGAAAGGAGAAATGCAAGACTCACAGGGCACCGAGCTTGAAGCACTAAAGAAAGAACAGTGCCCAGGTACAGGTGAAATAAAAAGCCAAGGGATGCTGCAGAAAGAAAGTCGGCATCCTGGTGCCTCTGCTGACCTCATGAAGCAGGGAAAAAAGGCCCAAGTGAAAGAAATAGAAACTGCTCACTTGGTTGGTGGCAGAAAAAAGGATGTGTGTTCACAGAGCATGCAGAATCCCCCTGTATCAGGGATTCCTGCCCTCCCTTTCCAAGCTGAAGAAGGAAATCTCTCTCCAGGGAAGCCAGGGCCTGTTTCAGCAGCCATATGGCTCTGACTTTCCTTGGAGAAGGAGGGGAGAGAGAGGCCAGAATGCTTGCCTGGACTTAGACTTCTGACCTCAGCTTGGCCTTGACATTGCTCGACCTTGGCCAAGTTGCTTCTCTGGCTGGAGACCAGAGAGTTCTTCACCTGCCTTTACCTGGGAACAGTAAGACAGGCGGACTTTGAGGTCCTCCGTGAAGAAAGCCAGCAGGAGAACCAAGGCATCCAGACCAAAACAGATCAAAGTGGGAGAAGGGTCCTGTGGAGATGCTAATTGACTGGCTAAAGGGGAAGACTGAGCCCTCCAGCGGCATGACCAAAGTGGGAGAGAATCCATTTCTCTGGCCCCACCAGACGGCACAGGAACTCTCTAGCTGCTGGCAAATTGAGCCATACTCCTGTCTCTATGTTCTCACCTCCGAACTGGAGCAGGAGAAGTGATTTGGGGAGTTGAAGGCACATAGCCCCTCCAGGCCCTTAGTGAACGGACGGGCGCATCAGCTGTAGGGGCTTGGAGGGGACACTTTTCTGAGCACATCAGCTGACTCCAGCTTCAGAGCTTGCACCACAGTTGCCATTTTCGCTTTGTGAAATGATTCCCCTCTCTCCAGCTCCACAGTGCCTTCCACTTTGCAAGCATACAAGTTGTACAGAAGCCTGAAAATGCTGATGGCTTAACTGGTTTAATTTTTTTTTTTTTCCCAGCAGCCCTGAGGGGTTTTAACTCTTTCCTCCTGCAGAAACCCTGCTTTTGGAGTTGAATGTTGAAACTCTCACTGGGAGACTCATAAATATTCGGAGTCACTCTCTCCCTCTCTGTTTGATTAGGAAATGAGCCTTTAACTCAATGTAATCCCCAAGCCATTAACAAAAAAGCCCTCCACCGCTCCACTATTAGAATTTCACTCTTAACCCGCTGAGGATTGAATTAGATTAACATAACTACCCACAATCTGAGTTTATTTTCTGTGCCAGATAGAAATGTGTTTTCAAGAAAGGCGAAAAGGGGGAGGGAAAGCAGGAGGGAGAGAAAGAGCGGGAGGATAATGAAATGTAAAAATAGAGATAAGAAAAAGATGGACAGATATACTATAGAAGTGAAGTGATAGGTCTTTGGTTTTAAAATCCTGCCAGCTGCCATTTTAATTGATGGGGTATTTGGAGAGGCCTCAACTATGTAAAATCGTTTGAATTAGGGGAGCACTTTCCAGGTATTTGCGATTCCCTCTTCCTGCACCTGAGCCTGCTGCATTCCAAAGCACCTGCTCATTGCCCCCACTGTCCCCAATTTGGGAGGAGGTCAGGACTGGATTCCTACGTGTTCAAGGGCGGTGGGGGGGACCCATAAAACAATGGTGCATGCACACAGGAAACTGCTTGTTTACATTCAGAGAAATAAACAATGACAAGGATGGAATGGGTTAGATTTTGCAGACATGAAGTCACAGACAGCTCCGTAACCAATTGCATTTAAGAAATCAGTTTGAAAAAAAATGAGTTTGATGGGAGCTCAAACCACATAAAATTAATCGTTATTGAAGCAGAAACTAAATAATCAGAGGCTGTCTCATGCAAATACACTGAAGTTTCCCTGAACCGCATCACTGTAACTAAGCCCAATGGGCCAAATCACATCCTGACTTGAGGATGAAAGCCAGGCCCTCTATCACACTGTCAGGCAAACCCCTGTCTCACCTGAAAGGATCTACATGTAGGCCAGGGAAGAGGCAGTTTTTAGCTAAATATCTCAACAAAATATTCTTCTCTCTGACCACGAAGGCTCTGAGAACGCAGAACTTGTTCAGGAATGCAGGACTCTCTCCCACTGCATTTAATCCTGACACACTGGGCCTGCACAGTGGGCCAGGCAGGCTCCAGCGTGCAGGCTGGGGAAGGGAGGGAGAATTTGCTCTTGTACTAAAAGGCTTTTGTAAAAGCCACACTTTCTCTCAAAAGCCATCGAGATCTGAAAGTCCTAGAAGTTTGGCTTTGCCAACAGCGAACTTCTCTGATTTCTGAATGCAATGTCTCAATCACTTCATTCACTTGAGCTTTAATTAACAATAACCCACCAAATCCCACTTCAGCATTATGGTGAAAAAACCTTAGCAGGATATATTTACCAGAATAGAGGCCCTTGTAACAGGAAGAATAATAATGCTGTATGGATAATACACTTTAACACCTAGTTGGTGCTTGTCACCCTCTGGAGTTCTTAGACTTCACCGTCTGTACTAGGTCTTAAATAGTGACATTTACCCCCTTGTACACCAAACTCCTTGTTCTGACTTTCTCCACTACTGAATGCGGTCTTACTGGCTGAACATGGGACGTTTACCTTCTAATTTCTCATTGCTTCCTGATCCACTCTCCCATCCAAAATAATGGATGAATGGATTAAAGATATTAATAACCCTAAACAAAATGCAGCTGAAAACATGGAACCAGAAAAAGGAAAGTTAAGGTTTCAGAAAGGTTACAATCAAAATGATATCAAATTGCTTCTCTAAACGTATGTGTATATATCCACATTTATTTAACTTTCATCAAGTTAGATTTGCTGGTAAAACTATTTTGTTTGTGATCAATCAAAAACAATACAGGCATCTCTGCTTTGTTTAATGCTTTTAAATTGTTGGAAAGATTATTTCTTTGTAGGATATTGTTCTCCCAAAGAAACCAAGGAGTCCTCAGCCATATAGCATATGGTATCCGTTGTATAAATAGAAACTCATGGTAAAAAAAAGAGGTACATTTAAAAAGTTGTACTTAAGTATACATTAGGCATCATTACTTTTTTTGCTTTTCCAAAATGTAGGGCTACTTTTCCTTTGTAAATTCTATAAAGCAAATCTTCCCAAGTACAGGGTTTCGGGTGAATACTATTCAATATTCAGAAACTAAAGTCCCAAACGTCGCACGGGAAGCTCATGGCAGGTAAACCCTGTGGACACCGGACTATGGCTGGGGAGGCCCCATCTAGAGCTGCCCGAGGTGCACTCAGAGCCTGCACACTATTCGAATTGTCTGAAACAAGCACAGCTTTGACAAGCCTCGCGATATTAAGTTTCTTCCTTTGCGAAGGATGCAGAGCAAAGCAGTCAACAGCCCTCCTTCCACACCTGGCTTTGGCCTGGGACTCTTCCTCCCAGCCCCCAGCAAAGTTCCCTTTCAAGATTAAGAAGATATACCAAATGAGGGAGCCAATGACAGCCGGGAAGGCAGGACAAACCCTCAGCTCTCATCTTGACTTCTCAAAGCAAACTTGCTCCGCGGAGGGGAGGGGGAAAGTCATTTTCTTTAAGGTGCTATGGAAAACTGGTCATTGGGACTGTAGGGGCTCTCCCTGAACCTGCAAGTTCCCACATTGAAACCAGATCTTCCAGGAGCCCCCATCATTACCTGTCCTGTGGGCACTGGGTCTTCCTGGGTAACCTTCCCCAACTCGCCCTCCACCGGAGCTGCCAGCAAATAAAAGTTTTCACGCTGGGCGACACCTCTACCCTGCTGAGCCGCATGTAAACTTCCCTTGCCCTTCTGATGTACTTACTTTTTTTTCTCAGTGAAAACAAACAAAAATCAAAGGGAACTCACTGCTTCCAAATGAGTTTGTGTCACTGTCCCACCTAGCCATTCGGAGACCCTCTGACCTTCCTGTGACAGTCTAAGAAAGGTAAAGTTTTCCTCTCGGCCACACAGGGATGCTTTAGAGTGCGGAAAACCAGGATGAAAGAACAGGCATGGGGAGATATTTTTATCCATTGAGAGAGAGAGAGAGAGAGAGAGAGAGAGAGAGAAAGAAAGAGAGAGGGAAAGGGGACAGAAAAGGACCCGCAGAGTCTGGGGAGGAGAAAGGGAGAAGTTGGCTTACTCACATGCTTGGGGCTGGCGTGGAGGACGGGGCTGGTGTGGAATGTGCGGCCCCCTCAGGTGCTTTTGGTTGCTGATAACTCGTTGCTCCGCTCCTCCGGTACCAGCTGACAGTCCCCTGTCTGTGTCTCTTTGTGACTAAGGACACAGTACTCCCAACCTATAAATAGATCCCGACTCCGTGATTGATATAACAGGCAGCTGACAAAAAAAAAAAAAAAAAAAAAAAATCTCACAACCATAACCAGGTCTTAAACAAAACAGCAAAAGGCTCTAGACTTTCAACTCCACCGAGCCCCACGCAGACTCCACAGCCACTGGTGGATGCAGGAAAGTGTGGAAGAAAAATATACCATGAAGGGAAGGAGGAACTGGGGGAGGGCAAGGGAAAAGGGGGGATGTGGAAGACAATGACTTCTCTAGTGGTGTGTGGCAGTCACTTGGGGTCACAGGAGAGCTGGTGACTGATGGTCTGGTCGGCAGAAAGCAAGGGGAGGAGCCAGGGCAGGAGGTCCTGACCTGGAGAAGGAGAGCCACCCCCTCTCTGGATCCTGAGCCCGTGGCCCTGTCAGGGCCCGAGTCAAAGTCCTGACTTGGGAGCATTCGTCAGCTCAAGTGCTTTCCACGAAAGTTTCCATTCCTCCTGCCAAATTAGGAGGTAGGGAGAGAACTCAGTTTTCCCGGCTCAGGGGCCAGGCAGGCTTCCTGGGGGCCATGCAGAAGGCTCCTGGAGGGTGAGAGAGAAAGTGCAGGTGCCTGGTGAGGCCAGGTCTTTGAAGAGGCCAAGAGATGGTGTTCCCAACAGAAGAACGGCCTGAAGTTGAAAGGCCTTGGGGGTGTGAGTGTCTCTGCTTTTTCCAGAAAGATTTCTTAGGACATCAAGTCGTCTGAAAAGGTTTCCTTTTTGGAGAACAAGCCTCGCTCTTTGGGGTACTGGATGGTCTCTAAGAGGCACTGCCTGTCCCAGTTTCTACAAAGTTGGGGCAGCCTCTCTGGGATAGGCCAGCCCAGCTCTGAAAGCGGAGCCAAGGGGCTGTTTCTGGAAGATGGAAGAATCTTGGTGAAACGGCACAAGTATGGGCTGTTCAACAATTAACCAGGTGAGCACGCATTACCCCAGGGGGCTTCCCATCTGCCAGCTGGAGACCCACTTGCTTTCACTACACAGGGTCATCTGTCTTGATTTTCTGGATTTCCTGTGCATGCTAAATGAGGCAGAATTTCAGGTGAGTTTCCCCTTCAAGAAGGGTCACAGGACGAGCCCCTTGCTGGTGTGGATAAGGGACAGGTACTTCATAATCCCTAAAACTTCCTGATCCCCAATTTTTAAAAGAAATGAAGTTGAACCTCGTCTTCATGTTAGATCTAATCCTTTACTCTCCAGGTTATCGGAAACTACAAGGATGGGGTGGTATCTAAGTTGTTGAAGTCGAAAACCTATTTAATGTGTAGAGCCTCCAATCTTTATCCCAGTAGCCTGCCACTGGAATATGAGCTCCAAGAAGGTAAAGATTATGTGTTTGTCTCATTCATCATCACATCCCCATGATACCTGATCCATAGTAAGACTCTGCTGAGTACGGATTGATTGACTGACTAATTGAATGAATGAGTGATTCTTAAGATACTATCATTTGAGCCACTCCTTTGGACTAAGTAAGATACTGTCTAGAAATGTCTGTAGCGTAAGAGTGTCCCTAGGAAGGCCCAGAACTGGGAGTGAGACTTCAGGCAGATATAGTCAAACTGCTGTATTTTCACTCGCAGTTTTATCTGAGAACCATTGCCCTTCTGAGTACCAGGCCAGTGATGCCAGTGGTCAGCCACTAAGCACTCCTCTCTAATCAGGCCTGGCCACACACAGGGTTCTCTGCAAGTTTAGTTGCTGGAAAAGCAGATAATCCTGCAGAGACAGGGCTCTAGAGAGGCTCCCATTCTGATGACTGGGGCTATAGCCACTTAGACTCACATTCACCACCAGCCTCCTTCCCAGGGAGAAACCTTTCTCTTCTAATGCAAACTGAGGACTTCCCTCCCTGATTTGCTTTCTCCTCCAATTCTCATCAAGCCCTTGCTGATCTCTGGCAGACATCCTGCAGCCCCTCCTAGGGCTTCCACAGCCCCCTAGCACAGCACGCTGTCTGTAGGAAGGGCTGTGTTTGGGTTGAACCCAGCCACCCCTCTCCTTAGAAAGCCCCTGTGGCACCTTTGTTTTGGCTTTTTATCTCTAGGTCGACCTCTGAATCATCTCACAGTCTGATTCTCAACTCTGCCAACTGAACTGAGCCTTGGTGTCTGCCCCCTTGAAGCTGGCCTGGGGGCAGCAGGGGTCTGCTGGGATCAGCTGATAAGCAGTGGCATTTCTCTCTGCTCACAGGGGCTCTCTTGAAGGGCAGGTCATCATCATCTTAGGAGATCCCAGGCTTTTGCCTGCAGGAGGTTCATCATGGCCTCACTTTCTCATCACAAAATCTCTCCAGCTTCAAGGGCCGGGCCCCCTAGTCTACTGGAAGCAGATGCACATCCTGACACACACCTCTGAGCCTGTCAGACTGGGCTGTTAAGTACAGACTCTGGACTGGAACTCCCTGGGTTGGAATCATGCCTCTTCCACTTATTATTGGGAAAGTCTAGAAAAATCCCTTGGTTTTTTTGTGCTTCGGTTTCCTCATCTGCAATGCGGGAATTCTAAGTGTCTGTCTCCTAGGATTGTCATGAAGACAAAATGACTCAACACGAAAGGATGCTTAGAACAATGCCTGGCCCATCCAGTGTCCTCTATATATGCTCCAGGTATATCAGCCCCCACGTGTGCCCCATGCTCATTCTGGAGGTGGCCCCTGCCCACCTGAGCCATATCACTCGATCTTGCTTTGGTTCTTCCCTAAAATTGGCAAGTGGCTCTGGCAGGGCAAATACCTGATGGCAAGACGTGCTCTGGCTGCAGAGCCTGGCCAGAAGTCAGAGGTCAGGAAGAGAAGACTGCGTGGGGACTTTTGGAGTTTCAATGTGTTTTACTAGTGTGTTTTAGTGTGTTTTGGAGTTTTACACCCAAAAGCAGGTATAGAGAAGAACAGGAAGACCCGGAGGATTCCAAATCTGTCCTGGTTTCCACACCTATCACACAGAGCCAGGTTCATAATACACTCACTCCTCCCTGCACTGCTCTGTTCCTTTGCCCCAGAGATTCCCTGTGCCCTGGCACAGCTGAGTATTCCACCTTGAGGCTACCATGCAGCAGTTGGCCAGAACATGGCTTTTTAAAAAATGATCCAAATATCACTGCAACCTCAATTATTCCAGAGATGCTCTGCCCCCCTGGAGTATTCTGGTGTCCCAGAACAGTTACATGTTCCACCTTGGGGCTACCACTCAGAAGTTGACCAGAACATGACATTTTTGAAAAAAATCCAAATATCCCAGCAACCCCAATTATTCCATGAGATTATGAGCTCTGCCTCCTCCTTCAAAGGTGATTCCAACTCTTCTAGAATTTCTTGAGTTTTCCCTCCTAATCCCTCCTTTTCAATTTTTTTTTAGTGTACAATATATACTTTTTCTTTTTTTTGTTTTAGAGATGGGATTTCAGTATGTTGCTCAGGCTAGTCTCAAGTTCCTGGGCTCCAGCGATCTTCCTGCCTCAACCTCCCAAATAGCTGGGACTACAGGCACATGCCACCATGCCAGCTGTCTTTTTCTTAATACTGTAAATTCATATGGCATAAAATTCACCATCAATTTTTTTATTGTACTGATAGAAAGGCTTTGAATTGTTCTGGAAATGTTTGGGAATTAGATAGCCAGAATGCTTGCATAACATAGTAAATATACTAAAGTCCACTGGAAAAAAAATTAATTGACACATAATAACTGTACATACATACAGCGTGTAGTAATCAAATCAGAGTATTAAGCATTACTATCATCTCGAGCATTCATTGTTTCTTTGTGGTGAGAACATTTAAGATCCTTTCTTCTAGCTCTTTTGAAATATACCATCCAGGCCGGGCGCGGTGGCTCACGCCTGTAATCCCTGCACTTTGGGAGGCCGAGGCGGGCGGATCACGAGGTCAGTAGATCGAGACCATCCTGGCTAACACGGTGAAACCCCGTCTCTACTAAAATACAAAAAATTAGCCGGGCGCGGTGGCGGGCGCCTGTAGTCCCAGCTACTCCGGAGGCTGAGGCAGGAGAATGGCGCGAACCCGGGAGGCGGAGCTTGCAGTGAGCCGAGATGGTGCCACTGCACTCCAGCCTGGGCGACAGAGTGAAGACTCCGCCTCAAAAAAAAAAAAAAAAAAAAAAGAAATATACCATCCAATATTGTTAGCTCTAACCATCTTTCTGTGCAATAGCACACCAGAACTTATTTCTCCTATTTAACTGAGACACTGTAGCACTAACTAGTCTCTCCCCATCCACCCTTCTCACTCCCTTCCCCAGCCTCTGGTAACCACTATTTTACTCTCTACTTCTAAGAGGTCAGCTTTTTCAGATTCTGCATATGAGCAAATTCACCATTTTAAAGTATGCAGTTGAGTGACGTTAAGCACACTCACAATGCTGCACACTGTGCAAACTATCACCACTGTTTAGTTCCAGAACATTTCATCACTCCCAAAGAGATCCCCATACACATTAAGCAGGCACCTTCCATTCCGCCATTAGTTGGCTAGGGCTGCCATAGCAAAAGGCCTGAGACTTGGTGGCTTAAACAAAAGGCATTTATTTCTCTTTAACATATGCATTTTGGGGACCCTAGCTTCCAGCAACCACATATCTGCTTTCTGCCTCTATGGATTTGCCTATTCTGTATATTTCATATAAACAACATCACACAATAAGTGGTCCTTCCCTAAACTCTTAACCCCATGTGTCTATTCTGTAGAAACAAGGAGGCTGACCTTTCTTGCAGTACTTTTCGTTTGGCGGGGTCTGCCAGGCCCTTGGCCTACATCCAGCCCAGTTCTTAACCCCTAGGTCTGAGGGTGAGCCTCCCAGCCTAAGAAGTCAATGACCATTTGTGAATACCTGTTATGTACTAGCTGTTTCACCCAGGTTTTCTTGTCAAATCCTCGGCACACCCCCACAGGAAGAATTATTACTTCTTGTATTAGTCTGCAAGGGCTGCAGAATAAAGTGGCCAAAACTGGGGTCCTGAAACAACAGAAATGTATTGGCTCCTAGTTCTGGAGGCTGGAAGTCTGGGATTAGGGTGTCAGCAGGATTGGTTCCTTCTGAGGGCTCGGAGGGAGAATCTGTTCCAGGCCTCGCTCTTAGCTTCTGGTGGTTGACTGGCAGTCTTTGGGGTTCCTTAGCTTGTAGATGCACCATCACCCCAGTCTCTGCCTTCAGCGTCACAGTACGTTAGCCCTGTGTGCGTTTCTGCCTCTGTGTCCAAATTTCCCCTTTTTATAAGGACACCAGGTATGGGAGGAGGGCCCACCCTAGTGAATTCATCTTAACTTGATCATCTGCAAAGACCTTATTTCTAAAGAAGGTCACCTTCATAGGAACTGGGAGCCAGTACTTCAACATCATTGTGGGAAACACAGCTCAACCCAGAAGATTCCCTTTTACAGAATAAGCAACTGAAAGTTCAGGAGGTCTTGTCCCCGGAACGAGACAGAGCTGTGTCACCACAAAGAAAAGACACAGGCAGAGGGAGGTGGGCCCTTGACTGCTCCTCTCCGGCCTCGGGGATGCGTGCACCTCCACTGGCTCAGTGCCACAGGGCTCCATTTGGCTTGCTCCAGCGTCATTAGTCCCGGCACATCAAGGTGACTTTACATTGTTTACAAGGGCCACTGAAAGTGCAGTCATCCCCCTCCCACACTGTCTTATCAATTCATTTACCTTTCCGAATTCCCTAACAGACTGCCAGCCAGGAGGGGTGGGCAAGGACCTGCAGTCCAGGAAGGGCCTGCCTCCACTTTATCTGGAAAGAAAAATCTATTTGCTTGGGGATAGACCTAAATACAACACACCGGTGCGACTAGGCCATTAATCATCTCTCGCCGGGACACAGGAGACCAGGAAGCAGCATTGTGGGCACGCTGGCTTTAAACTCAAGGGTGAGAAAGCTCTGGGGACACACCATTTCCAGAGGGCATTCTACAGGTGCATCAGGTGGAGGTCACACAGTTTGATGCTGGTGACATCTTGCATGGGAAGAGGAGGCAAGAAGGGCAGATTGATGTCCCCAAAGGATTCCCTGAAAGCAGGTGCTCGCGCTGAAATAAATACCCACCCCCTGGTGGCTGCAGAATGCCTTTTGACCAGGAATACATTTGCTGGGGAACTCTCCATGCCCAGCAGTTTGGCACATGCCTACAATCCCCTGGGGGATGCTGTATTCTTCTTAGAGGAGGGGGAGCTGCCTGAACAGGGACTCATAGAATAACAGGAGACCTAAGTCGACAAATCAAAGGCCCCCAGGTCCAGACTCCCTCTCCCCATTTCCACCATTTCCTTACTCCAGGAGACCTGCCCTGCTGCCCAGCCAGCCTGCATGGCATCCCATAAACACGCTGTCCCAGCTAGGTGTGTTCCTGGCTCTGCTGCCTCCCTTCTGTCTTACTTAATTTCTATTCATTCTTCAGGGCCCAGGTCAAATGTGACATCTCACCTGTCCACTCCCTTTTCACAGCATCCCTCACCTCCAATCTCCTCCCACCACCACCAACACGTCTCATCTGAGTGTCTGTCACATCTCACATCGCCTTGAGTAGTGTGCTGTCTTCTCACCTGTGTTTGTCTCAAGCAACAAAAAGGCAGTAATAATGGAACAATTGCTGACATTCATTGAGCACTGTTGTGTGCTAAGTTCTGTGGAAAGCACCTGATCTACATCGCCTTATTTAAATCTTACAACTACCCTGATGGTCATTATTTTCTCCAGTTCATCAGCTGGGAAACTGGCAAGCCAAGTGGGCAAGTGACTTGCCCACATTGGACAGTGGGTAGATGATAGAGTTAGGATCAGCCTCTGCCTGGTATAAAAGCCCATGCTCATAGTGTTTCTGCTATGGCTCCCCACCCAAGTAGGGGGTACACAGTGACACTTTCTCATGGTGTTAGTGAACTAAAGCAATAGGATTTCCACCAAGAACACAACTGGAAGGGAATGCACAAAGAGAGATGGGCTTGCACTGGCTGGGTGCACCCTGTGGGGCGTTTCCAGGGCTCAGGGCATATCTACCATGGTTTGAGTCTTTTCCTCTGGCTGAGTAAGAGAAAGATCTTAGAACTTAATGACTGCTGGGAGATTTCCCAGTTATTGGATAGACCCCATAGGGAATAGTTAGATCTCCCTAGTCTTTCCTTCAGGATGGGATTTAAAGCGGGAAAAGGAGGTGAAGGGCAGGAGAAGGGCAAGGGTGGAAAGTTTAGGAAGTCTCAGAGCTGGATGTGGCCAAAGCTCATGCTGGCCATGGATTCCAGCAGCTCTTCCCAGGCCTTCTGTCTTGTTCCTTATAAACTGGGGATAGAGAGCTGATCCCAAATCTGCTCTGTAAAATGGGAGGGCTGAAGATACCTATACAATTCTGGTCAGCAATAAACACGCTATTATTCTGCAGTTTTTCAGAGCTGCCATTAGTATACTTTGGTCAAAAGCAGCCAGAACCCCACTGTGACCAACTTAAGCAGAAATAGAACTTATTGAAATGATATAAAGTAATTCATATTAAAAAAAGGAAAGACCATCTGGGTGTGGTGCCTCAAGCCTGTAATCCCAGCACTTTGGGAGGCTGAGGTGGGCACCTGAGGCCAAGAGTTCAAGATCAGCCTGGCCAACATGGTGAAATTCTGCTAAAAATATAAAATTAGCCAGGCGTGGTGGCACGCACCTATAATCCCAGCTACGTGGGAGACTGGGGCAGGATAATCACTTGAACCTGGGAAGCGGTGGTTGCAGTGAGCTGAGAGTGCGCCCCTGCACTCCAGCCTGGGTGACAGAGCAAGGCTTCATCTCAGAAACAAACAACAACAACAATAACAGAAGGAAAGACTGAGGAAACGAAGGTGGCTCTGGGAGTCTGACAACAGAATGTGGTGGCTTCTTTGGGACACAGTCACTAGAATTAATGAGCTCCAAGCAACTGCCAACCCTGCCTCCTTCTGCTTAAAGGCCAAAAGCCACAGGAAAGATACTGACTGGCTTAGCCTGGGTCACATGATCACCTTGGGTGGTGAGGAGGTCGGAGAGGTTGACAGCTCACTAGGACTATGCACAATGGGAGAAAAGTAATTCCCCAAAAAGAGACTAGGGTCCTGCACCTCTCCAAAAGCAAATGGATGCTGGTAGTCAAACTTTAAAAGTAGAAATTGTGCTGGGCGCGGTGGCTTACGCCTGTAATCCCAGCACTTTGGGAGGCCAAGGCAGGTGGATGGGGAGATTGAGACCACCCTGGCTAACACAGTGAAACCCGTTCTCTACTAAAAATACAAAAATTAGCCGGGCGTGGTGGTGGGCGGCTGTAGTCCCAGCTACTCAGGAGGCTGAGACATGAGAATGGCATGAACCCGGAAGGTAGAGCTTGCAGTGAGCCGAGATCCCGCCACTGCCTCCAG